TCACTTGCAACTGAAGAAGTACTAATTGCAGGCTAGGAGATGCTTCTCTACATTGTTTTAGCTTTTGGCATTTTTCTTTCACAGAAGGCCAAAGGCAATTTCTCAACTCTTCTTTGGCTATAGAAAACTAGTAAAATATGTTTGGAAAATTTACAACAGAAGAGGGAACTTACGGCCTTCCAGATGTTGCTGAAATACAGCTGCCAGATGCTCCTGCCAGGAGAGGTAATAATATTGTAGTTCAGAGTAGAAATTATATATTTGCAGCATCTGGAAGGCCATAGGAATCCCATTAAGGAAGTATATACAGTGCAACTTATTCTAAATGGTTATTCTTTTGATGAGGGTATCCTGTCATGTATTGATCTCAAAAATTCCTAAGCAACCCTTTTTTTACCATTGGAGCCTGCAAATATTGCAATTTTCCATTGACAAAATAACAATAAAAATGCTTATATGCATTTCTCCCATTGTTTCTGCTTGTCTCATAAGTTCCAGTAAAGTGGGCCATTAACTTTTCCATTAACTGATGGGCACTAGGAGGGATGTTTTTCCATCACAGTTTCTAAAGTCTGGAAAAGTATCCCTCCATATATTCTATTAGCCTCAATTCTGCTACCCTTTGAACAAACTTTGAACACTGGCTTCTTCTCCAGTTACAGGAATGTGCTCATCAGAATGGAATTAAGTTTATTATAATAGTGGCATGCTTGCTTCCCCTGGTTCTGGCCAACTTTCATTTTCTGTACTGATATAATATTTTGGTATTGTTTTTAATTTGTACACTGTCCACAGCTGCTGCAGACTTATAAATTTAGATTATAAACAATAAATAGATAAATTTAGTATTGAGCTTAGAAAGTAAATGAAGTACAGTAATAAACAAATGCCAGTTAAATTAGAACATAAAGAAATACAAAATAAATGCATTAAAAGGACAAGAAACTCTCACTATGATAATGGAATATCAATCAAGTGATCACTTTAAATAGAAAGGATAAACTAGTTCTATAAAACTTACTAGTGATGTACAACATATTCAACAGATTTCCTTTGAAATAAAGACCCATATTTTTTTCTAAAAAAAAAATTCTTCTGAAGCCTCTCCAATTAAAGCACTACAATTCATCAATAGCTATTTTCTGCATTTACATAAGCATAAAGATTCAGAACATTCACAGATTGTAAAAAAGAAAATGAAACGAAATAAATCTCCCAAAATAAAACCAGGACTCAGCTACCAAAAAAGGCTGACTGGCAAAGTGACTCATTTCATAATGATAAAAAAGATCCTTCTGTTCTTGCTAAAAAGTTTAACAGTATGAGTAACACAGTTCTGTAGTGAATTAAACATAACACATTTTTAATGACTTTCCTTATTTGGTTTGATTCCTTCATACTGGGCTGCATGCTGGAAATGCAGTTAGTCACTATCCTTAAATCGTTTGCAGTGAAATCCTAATTTCTCTGAATCAATCTTCATAAAAACTCAGTTCTGGAAAAAGGAAACACACACACACACACACACACACANCCAACCGATTATATTCCTAACAAAACGTACTCCTTCATTTAAGAGATTTGGTATTAGGAATCATCCTTGTTATTAGCTCCCATAACACTTAATAGCTATCCTAGCCAGAAATTCACTTCAAGCCCATAGAAGACACGCACCAGGGAAATTTAGCATTTGAAAACAATTTTTGATAGTTCGATGTGTCCCATTATATAAAAGAAATTCAAAATTTAGGAGGTTTGCAATTCTGCATGATCCCTTAATGACCATCATTAAGAGAAATAGCTTCCTTGGTTTCGGTGATAGAGCGTTTAAAATGTTGAATCATGTTTACAACTTTTGAGCCAAAGTTGCTTCTAAGAGGTTAGAAATAGCAAGGAAAAATTCCAGTCTGATTCATTCTGATTTAATTGTCAGCCGAATAGCGCCCCCTTGTGTTCGACCCATTTTCCAAACATTCTTGGTCTCTGGAAAATGAGGCTGAATTTGGTGCAGGTAGTGCTCGACTTACAACAGTTCATTTAGTAACAACAGCACTGAAAAATGTACCTTATGACCGTTTTTCACAGTTGCGACCTTTGCAGCTTCCCCCATGATCATGTGATGAAAATTTAGATGCTTGACAACTGGTTCATATTTATGACGGTCGCAGTGTCCCCGGGGTAACCTGATCCCCTTTTGTGACCTTCTGACAAGCAAAGTCAACGGGGAAGCCAGATTCACTTAACAACCGTGTTACTAAGTTATCAACTGCAGTGATTCACTTAATAACTGGGGCAAGAAAGGTCGGGAAATGGGGCAAAACTCCCTTAGCAAACATCTCACTTAACAACAGAAATGTTGGGCTCAGTTGTGGTCGTAAGTCGAGGACTTCCTGAATTCAAGAACAAGCTGTCATCAGTAATTGGGGAATAGTTTCTATTCACTTATAGTCGTCACTTATAAAGCCCTTCATGGTATTGGACCTGGGTTCTTGAGAGACCGCCTGCTGCCAATTACCTCCAACAGACCTATTAGATCCCACAGATTAGGCCTCCTCCGAATTCCATCCGCCGGCCAGGCTACCACCCGGAGGAGGGCCTTGTCTGTGGCTGCTCTGGCCCTCTGGAACGAGCTCCCCGTGGAGATTCGGACCCTCACCTCCCTTCAGGCT